CTAACTTCTTTATCATTAGGAAATGACTGTTTATTCCTGATAAAATCCTTTGCTCTGAAATCTTTCAATGATACTTCTGTATTTCACCCATCCAGTTTTCCTATTAGGGGTCTCATGGAATGTCTATTCCTTTCCATTTAATTTTAACCTAAATGTTTCTTGATTTTTAAAGTGACCTTTCATAAGAAGTATACAGATGAGTTTTATTTTTTTCATCTATACTGACATTTTCTGACTTTGAATTAGAACATTTATATAATTTACATTAAATATGTTATTATATTGATTGGATAGGGTTTAAATCTATTACTTCAGTTTGTTTTCTCTCATCTCATGTGCACATCTTTTCCTACTTTATTTCTTTGAGAGAGTCTCTATTTAGCTTTCATATACAAAATTTATATTTTTCTGTTTTAGGATTATAAGTTATGAAGATTTTATCCTTTGTTATTTAAAAATTCTATAAAAATAAATGCCATCTTTTGTGATCAATCTTTAATTACTACATGGCTGTTATCTTTGTTTTGCTCCTCTAACATCAAGTATCCCACCCTATGCAGTCCCCTGGGCATGCTTGGCCACCATCCACTTTGGGGTACAGATCAGGCTACATTGGCACTGCCAAGATGGCTCAGATTCGACTTTTTTATGTAGTTTTGAACATGAATTTATTGTGACTTAGCAGATAAAAGGTAGACATTGCAAGGTGCTACCAAATTCAGTATTTCATTGTATACTTTTGAACCTGAACACTCTTTCAGATAAAGAGGTTATTGAACTTTTTCTCCATTGGCAAGGTCAATAATTGACTTTTGCAGGAGAAAATTCATCTGCCCACAGATATGTGACTGGTAAAGAGAGGGCCCCAGAGTCCTCTGAAAGGGTGTTAGAAACCTTAGGGTTTCTTCAAACATACTTTGAAACTTTCTGCTATAGGTGACCTCCAAATTGCACTTCTGGATAGCTTAAGTCAGAACTTCCTAAAATAGATAAATGTTGTAAAATATATGTATTTGGCTGTGTTTAGCAAGGTAACCTAACATGCCCAACAGTGTATCCAGATGGTATGGAATACTACACAGTTCGAAAAAAAGTGAGGAAGTTCTTTACATATCATCTCTCACATGGATTATTATACAGAAAGAGGTATATTTTGAAGCAGGAAGAAGGAAGAATAAAACTTGGATTAATATTTGCCTAGACAATTCAAGTGATAAAAGTAACTAAGGAAGAAAGAGGTTAAATTGCTTAAATTTTTACTTTGTTTTGAACCTGTGAAGTTGAACTATTTTATAAGTCAATTTTAAAGAAGAGCATATAAATCAGACTAATTTAGTGAACATTTGTAAAATGCAGATCATGATTATGAAAATGCCACAGATCATCTGTTATCATTGTGTTTACTTTTATATTTATGTCCACTGAAAGCAACACTTATTTTATTGAATTGTCAACTTCTCAGAGATCACTAAGAATGGAATTTAAAATGCCAATGCAATGTTTTTCCTTTAATGCCTTTTTCTCAATCAATGTAATGAGTTATCTTGATCTTCATTATCTTGTAATCTGGTCGAATCAAAGATCTTACTGTTTTCTTCAGATAGATTTGATTTTAAAACTCAGTGCTCAACATATCATCATCATTATATCACCACTTTACTGTTTTCACAAATGAGCAATTAATACTTGGAAAGTGTTTGTTACCATTCTCAATCAAGTATGTGAAGATATATTGATTAAATCCTATTGCAAGACAAAAATATTAACTGCTGATACTCAAAATCGCAAACAACTCATCTGTAGTTTTCTAGAAGGATTAACTATATATGTTTAGTTTAACCTTGGAGATGTACTGTCTTTCAAACTGAAGTTGTAGAATTATTTTTGTCCATAATTTGATACTTAATAGTCCTTAAATTATGTTTCTTTAGTTGAAAATATATTCCTGTTAAATAGAAATTTAAATTAAGCAACTCTGTAAGTGAGAAATGGAATATTATTTCAAGAACCAGAATTGTTATTAATGAAAATTTAGAGGTGTTAGATCATATTACAGCATTTTAGAAAGTAGTAAAAAGCAAAGCAGATGAAACTGAGAGACAAAATTGTAGATACAATAATTATGTTAAAGCCTAATATAACCATTGGAAAATACCAGTTATTTGATCAAACTAATGATAATGTGATCTCCATAATGGAAATACCTCATTACAAAAAAGCATCTACATAATATTAAAATTCTTTATTCCATAATATTATAAAAAACTGAATTTATGAAAAATTCAAAAAATGTAAGTTCATTGAATAATAGGAATTAGTTTTACAAATGTGGTTTCTGAATTTTTTCACTTTTTTATCTTCAATACTTAAATGCAATGGAAGGGATCATGTGATAATTAATTTATGGGAAGACCTAAGAAAAGAAACTAATTTTCTTTGCATGTAGACTGAGAATGGCAAAACAAAAAGTAAAAGCAACAAGATACTTTATTATTAAACTGGTCCATGTCTCTTCTTGGTAAAGGACTGAGTTATTTTTGTGATTTTCTAATAGCTACATAGTCTGAAGATTTTAATGAGAAATGATGTAAAATAATTGTGAGGTGACTTTTTAGTGGACCTCAGATAGATAAACTATCTATGTGTGAATTTAGTCTCTGATATATATTTAGAACTGAAAAGAAATCATTATAAAATAGTAATTTTCTGCCTGTGGCAGAATGAGATTAGTTATTGCTAGCCAGAATAAATTTGGGGGAATTAATGGATGTCGGTTAGTCTGAACTACTAAAACTGTGACATACTTAGGTATTCCTTGGTTAGGGTGACATCCATCTTCCGAGGAATATTTGAGGAAAAGTGGGTAGAGAAATGCTTACAAGACATGGAAGACATATGAAATAGCTGGAGCCATTTTTGAAGAAAGGGAAATTAAACTGTTAAATTAGTGGTGTCTCTGGAACCTAAGCATCCAGTGAGGGCAATGATAACTTGAAGGTAACCAAAGCCTTCATATTGTTGAAAGTTATGAGGCTACTTAAACACCTGCCCTATTTCTAGCAACTAAAGAATAAAAATGGATTTGTTTCCAGGAAGTTTTGACAAAGTAACAGATATAGAATACAAATATCAGTAAGTGTATTAAAACAGAATATTTCTGTTGCAGTCAAATTTGAAGTAAAGTGTTTTTAAAAAGTAAAAATAGAGAGGCATAGGATTTATGAGAAAACAAGAAGACTGAATGAAATAGAATTGCAATAACTTTTAATATTGCTTAATTCCACTGGGGAATTTATAATCAATAAAATAATAGTATACATAAAAATGATTTCCATAGTCCAAAACAGTGGGTATTAAACTCCCTGAACACCTTGGCATTAGAACTTATGAAAAACCTCCTCAGATTTTGATATTATTATTTTACAGACTATTTGGAGAGTTTCTTTTCACAAAATTGTATGAACATAAAATATTTGTAGTGTTCTGCTAACCTACACTAAGTTAAGAGAAGAAGTTTTATTAGAAGATTTAAGATAACATAAGCTAAAACTATTGAACTGGTCAGTTTTTATAGATCTTCTAGCTTACTTTACTTTATAAACAAGAAAATGTTGTTAAAGAATTAAATAAAGTTTTCCAGTGAATGGCAGCTTCAGAACAAGAACTGAAGCACCTCATTATCAATTTGGAAGTGTCTATTTATATTTGATGTTAGAGAGAATTTCTGCTAAAAGTTCACTTTTATTTTAATTCCTTAATGTATTGAAAATCTTTACTTTTATAATACAAATAGTAATAGTGCTCTTCAAACTACCTTTATAAATTAGAAAAAGCAAATCAATGCATTTTTATTAAATTGTGTTTTTTATTACTATCACCAGGAAGAAAAAATAACATACAGATAGTCAAAGAGCAGTGTACTTAAAATTAAGCATTAATATATTAAAAAGTCATCTTTTTAAATACCATTCATCATTATTATTTTAGAGATAACATGTCAGATCATGTTCCTCATATCTACATCGTAAATTCAGAAACTTGATTTGTTGTGTTTAATGATTGAGATACATTTAACTTATTATTCTCACTATCAGTGAGCTAATGAAACATAGTTACTGACCTGAAAATAACATAATGCTATTATAGAGATATTTAATTATACTTAAACTTATAAGTACCTATCTGGCCATGTTGTTTGGATATGTAAAAAATAAATTTATTTATTAGGAGAATTAATTTCTAATATTACTTTATCACATTCAATTTAATAAATGAAACTATTGTGTACTGAGTTACAATTTATGCTTTACTTTGAAATTTAGCTTCTGTTATGGATGTTAGTAACTTGTTTATTGCCAACAGTGCATTTCAGTAACAGTTTCAACCTGTCCAAAATTTGCAGCATGTGCAGTTTTTGCAATGTAATTAGTTAGAAATTGGGGATGCTTAATTTTAAAATTGAATTGTTCATGAAAATCTATTTTCATACTCTCTATGGTTTAAGCAGTTTCTCTTCATAAAATGTTTTATAGTTGTTTGAAGAAATTAAGTGCAGTTAATCAGAAAGAACATTATGCTTTGACACCTAATTTGAAAGCCCTGTCTTAAAGCAGTGAATGATTGCTTATGGCATTACATATAGCAATGAGAAACCAAATAGGAAATCCATTTATGCTTAAATTAAATATCAGTATTGATTAAGTAAGGATGGTACTGTCTTCTTGTGAGACATTTTATAAAAGTGTATGTGTTTGTTAAAACATATAGTTCATTGTTTGTTTTAATAGATTAAGAAAAAATAAAACAACATTATAAATATTTTCTAATTATTGTACATAAGAATGCATAGCAGTGGACATTAATATTCTTTTATTATTAAGCTAGAATTTAACATCAATTTTTAATGTTTAGCAGTTAGAAAAAAGGGGACAAAAAGTCTTAGAATGGTGTTGGTTCAAACGTTTTTGTCTCTATTTATTCTATGTCTATCTGTCTTTCAGTGCCACCAGCAATCACAATGCCTCAGAAATCATTTAATGCCACAGCAGAGAGAGGAGAAGAGATGACATTGTCCTGCAGGGCTTCAGGCTCTCCAGAACCTACCATCTCCTGGTCAAGGTAGGTTAAACATGCATGTGTCGTCTGGCTCATGGAATACTATTTGGATTTTTAATTGTTTTGTCAAGAAGTAAAGCAATGTTTTTAATTTTATCTAAAAATCAATAAGGCTACTGTTTTCAGTTCAATTCCTGAGGTTAATTGCTAAAGAGATAAGCAGTGTGTTGTGCTCTGATTTTGAGTCCAAGGCTGCCCTCATGATGCTTATTCTGTCTTCGAGGGCATGTTTCTGGCTAGAATTGGCCTAGGAATCTTGTAACTAATCCTACCTTTTAACGTTAACAACTAGTGGGTCTTGAAATAGATATCCCAGTGTTTCAGGCCACATTGTTATAAGTGTACTTTTTATTATAATGTAATTAATTGTATATTTTATTTATGTGTAGATAAAAGGTAATTATGCAAAGTTAAAACTTCATGAGTTTAATTTGTCATTTTAAAACTGTTCAACCTATCATATGAGTAAAATTTGTATTCTAAATCTATTCTTTAATTGTTTACTTATGTGAGATCTAACTGCATCACAGAAAACCTTTCAGGTCAACTATTATGATGAAAAAATATTGTCACAGAATATTATTTTAATAATTTTATATTTCCAAAGAAACTTATTTACTTAGATTTTAAAAAGTTTCATATGTATTCAAAATTGTTTTCTTATATTTAATCAGAAAAATAATAATCATAGGGACAAGAGGAGGCAGAGTCAGAGGAAATAAACTGTAATTTATATCTATAATTTTTCATCTTAGTAGCTTCATATGTCATTATTTTCTTCAATTGAGTAGGATGGAAAAATAATTACTTTAAATGTAAATAGTCATTTTAGCCTCTGGATATAAAGTATGTATTAGGAGAAAGGGAGTATGTGGTCATAACGTCTATAGAGATGACATTAGTTTTAAGGGGAAGTTTTTATTTTCGTGCTTTTTATTTGTAGATGTAGACAGACATCCAAGGTCAAAGTACCAGCAGGGTTGGTTTCTGATAGCTCTCTCTTAGTGGCTTATACATTGTCTCCTTTATTGTCATATGCTCTCTCCACTGTCTGGAAAGAATGTGAAAGAGATCTCTAGTATCTCTTCCTCTTCTTTTAAGTGCACCTGTTCCATCATGGATAAGTTGCCCCATGTAATCTCATTTAACCTTAACTGTGTCCTTAATGGCCCTATCTTCAGATACAGTCACTTAGAGGACTTAAGGAATCAAAGTTTGAATTTGGGAGAGAAGAGCCATTTGGTAGAAGTAAAGAAGAGAGTCAAGGAATAAAAATTGAGGAATTATAAGAATATTTCACAAATATAATCAGAAATAAATAAGTGGTATTTAAATAAGTGAGAGGAAAAGCAGCAATTCTACATCTACATTCTACATTCCCTTCAAATAGTTGTTTTCTATCTACTGAAAATACTCTATACACTTTTATTGTTAGCCCATTAATCTAATAATCAAATGTTAGGGCTCCCTTATATTCCTTGTTTAAAACCCACTTAAGATATGTTATATTTTTATGTATCATTGTGATAGATATGATGATAATGTTAAGAATTGTTGAATTAATGACTATGAGAAATATAATATTATTATTTTCCCATTCTTGAATTGTTACACCTCAAGGCAGTGTTGGTCTTATAGACTGAACAGTGACGTATTTCCTCCTCTTCTATTTCATAATAAAGTTTGTATATAACATTGCTTACTTATCACTTAAACATTTGGAAAATACAAATAAAACTACAGAATACTATATGCACATTATTATTATTTTAACTTTAAGGATTTCTACTTCTCTTGGAAATGCACACTTCCTAGTATATATGTAGAGATGTCATAAGAAACTGGGAAAAATGATGTTATTGAGTCACAAAAGAATAAGAATTTTATTAGAATATGTGTCAGTGTTTACTGGAAAATGTAATCAGAATTTACTTCAAATATTTATGATATATCATAGAAATGCTTTGTTTAATTTTGGAAATATTTTAATAAAATTTTTAGGTTTTTTTTTTTTTTAGTTTCTAATTTATATGAAAAAGTAAATATTCCCACTGACTTATACAAATCCTAAACATTTTATGTTAGTAAGTCCTAAGATCAATTCAGATATTCAAACCATTATATTTTTGTACTAGGAAGAGAAGCAAAGAAGAAAAATAAAGAAAAGAATGAGGTAAAGGAGAATGAGGATAATAAAAAAAGAAGCAAAGAGAATACATAAAAAGTTTTTCAACTAATAAGGGAAATTGTAGAAATGTTTCAGAGTTTTAATATATCTAAAATATCTCCTATTATACAGTCTAGTAGAAAATACTTGAAAGGTTATATATACCACACTTAGAGCAGAATTAGATTTATTTCATTGTATAAAAACTGCATGATTAATGTGATTCTATTACATGTAAAATCAGAAAAGTGAGAAATTATACCCCATTAATGTATGATATATCAAAGTACATAAATGCATTCCACAGTCATATATAACTAATTAAAACAAATAAAAAATTGAAAATATTTATTAAATAAATGTTATTTATGAATAAAAAAGAATTGGGAAAAATTTAATTATTTGTGTCTAAAAGTAAACATAAAAACTTCCTATTTTCCTTCATTAATTAAATTATATCCAGCATAATATTTCTGATTAGTTGTGCTTTCACTTGAGTTTTTCATTAATGTATTGATAGTACTTATATACAATAAAAATTTTGATGTGTTTATATTGTACTTACATTGGAATTTATTTAAATAAATTTTCCATAGAAATTATTTTTAAAAATGTGTCCCACCTAGAAAATAAACATATTTCATAAAGATGTGTTGGCTCACCAACTTATATTGTGTGGAGGGAATAAAAATAACCAAAGAAAACTGAGTTTTTGCTAATAATCAAAGTTCAAATTAAACAAATATGCTTTTGTAAACTGACTAAAGTCAAGATTTCAACATTGCCCAATGGATTTCTTGTCTCTAAAGTCAAAACAAATTTTAAGCATAATTTTATTATTTGCAGATTAAATTACTGGAGTACTAAAACATACTTTTGATTGGACTATATCACTGTCTATCAATGACAATAGCCATGAAATAATTGATGCCTATAGATCAAAAAGTTGATTATGATCTCCTGGGTTATGAATATAAATTTATGAAGAACAACCTTCTTTTTCTTCTTTAGGAATGGCAAGCTCATTGAAGAAAGTGAAAAGTACCTTTTGAAAGGAAGCAATACAGAACTCACTGTCAGGAACATAATCAATAGTGATGGAGGGCCTTATGTCTGCAGGGCCACAAATAAGGCAGGAGAAGATGAAAAGCAGGCATTTCTCCAAGTCTTTGGTAAGTATTATAGCATATTGCCTAAGTCTGAGATGTCTAGAGGGGTGCCTGAGTAAACTTCTACTCCACTGTTAATGAAAACCATTTAAATTTCCATAATTAAATTTGATCTTATATAATTTGCTCCCCTCTGAAATGTATTTTCAGATTTCAGCTACCAAATAAAATTGTCTTAAGAATTACATCAAATCACCCATTTAAATATTTATAGAATATTAGCTGAATCATAACTGAATCTGAACAAAAAAAATTAAATTGCTTCAATAGATTCTGTAATGTTTTATATCTCTATGAGGGTTAATCTTCATGAATCTTAAATTTCATGTTGGGATCTATTTTCTATTCACTATACTTAAAAAAATTCACATGAAACCCCAAGAGTCCCAGGAGTTCCACAGGCTGAGGTAGGAGGATCGCACATTCATAGCCAGCCTCAGCAAGTTCCTGAGGCCCTAAGCAACTTAGTGAGACCTGTCTCAAAATAGAAAATAAAAAGGGCTGTGGATGTGACTCAGCAGTTAAGCTATCCTAGATTCAATATCTGGTATTAAAAAAAAATTACATTATGAAGGCTATGATTTAGAAACATTAAGCTAAACATTGATTGAACTATAACTAAATATCTGTTTTCATTTTACTAAAATAAAATATGTAAATATCCTTCATATTTAGCAAGAGATATAATGTTTACCTTGGAAGTGGATAGAACATAGAGAGTTAGTATTATTTTAGAAAACTTTTGATTTACCTTTTATTATACTTGAACAAGAAAGAAAATTTGCCGTTTGATAGTTATATGATTTTTCACTTTAAAAAGTGAAAAAAATTACATTCTCTACTAACATTTAGTATCTCTCCATCTTTGGCAATACTCACCAAAATGTTTTCACAACAAAGAAAAGGAAAGTGAAGAAGGCTGAAATCTCTAAGATTAAGAATGATTAAGAATGACTAGCATTAGCAGTTGACAGATATAAGGGTCCCACTTATATTAACCCCAAAGAAATGATAAAATGTTACATCAGAGTTATAATCACTTTTTTAATACTCTTGAATAAATACTAGCGGAGGGACCACTCTCTTCCCAGTTGTGCCACCATAATAATAAAAGTGCTTATCAAACTAGAGAAAATTTCATGAATGCTTATATTCTTTTGGGGAGAAACAAATAACTATTCCAAACTATATTAAAATTAAAAAAAAATAAAATTTGCCTAATAAGATGCTTCAAAAAGCATATGAAACTGGACAAATTGGAGAACATTGTTTTTAAAGGACTATAATTTTGGATATCAGAGTGTTGGAAAGTTAGCAAAAAGAGCAATGTTAAGGTGATGTTAAACAAGTCTTTAATGAGGAGAAAGAGGAAAAAACTAAGGGCCGGAGATTGCTCACATAGAGGAAAGAGGAAATAAATAGAAATCTATTCAAAATCATAGGAAGTCCTTAAATTATGAAAAGTTCCCAAGTGTTTACCTCTTTTTTTATCTTTTTTTTATTATTAGTTGTTCAAAACATTACAAAGCTCTTGACATATCATATTTCATACATTTGATTCAAGCAGATTATGAACTCCCATTTTTACCCCGTATACATGTTACAGATTCACATCGGTTCAACATCCACTTTTTTACATACTGCCATATTAGTGTCTGTTGTATTCTGCTGCCCTTCCTAATCTCTACTATCCCCCCTCACCTCCCCTCCCCTCTCCTCCCATCTTCTCTCTCTCTACCCCATCTACTGTAATTCATTTCTCTCGTTTTTTCCCCTTTCCCCTCACTTCCTCTTACATGTAATTTTTTATAAAAATGAGGGTCTCCTTCCTTTACCATGAAATTTCTCTCTGTTTCCCTCCCCCCTCTCAACCCTGTTTAATAGTGATCTTCTTATCATGCTCTTCCTCCCTATTCTGTTCTTAGTTGCTCTCCTTATATCAAAGATTACATTTGGCATTTGTTTTTTAGGGATTGGCTAGCTTCACTTAGCATAATCTGCTCTAGTGCCATCCATGTCCCTGCAAATTCCATGATTTTGTCATTTTTTAGTGCTGAGTAGTACTCCATTGTGTATAAATGCCACATTTTTTTTTATCCATTCATCTATTGAAGGGCATCTAGGTTGGTTCCACAGTCTAGCTATTGTGAATTGTGCTGCTATGAACATCGATGTAGAAGTATCCCTATAGTATGCTCTTTTAAGGTCTTCAGGGAATAATCCCAGAAGGGCAATAGCTGGGTCAAATGGTGGTTCCATTCCCAGCTTTCCCAGGAATGTCCATACTGCTTTCCAAATTGGCTGTACCAATTTGCAGTCCCACCAGCAATGTACAAGTGTACCCTTTTCTCCACATCCTCGCCAGCACTTGTTGTTGTTTGACTTCATAATGGCTGCCAATCTTACTGGAGTGAGATGGTATCTTAGGGTGGTTTTGATTTGCATTTCTCTGACTGCTATGGATGGTGAGCATTTTTTCATGTACTTGTTGATTGATTGTATGTCCTCCTCTGAGAAGTGTCTGTTCAGGTCCTTCACCCATTTGTTGATTGGGTTATTTGTTATCTTATGGTTTAATTTTTTGAGTTCTTTGTATACTCTGGATATTAGGGCTCTATCTGAAGTGTGAGGAGTAAAAATTTGTTCCCATGATTTAGGCTCCCTGTTTACCTCTCTTATTGTTTCTTTTGCTGAGAAAAAACTTTTCAGTTTAAGTAAGTCCCATTTGTTGATTCTTGTTATTAACTCTTGTGCTATGTGTGTCCTATTAAGGAATTTGGATCCCAACCCCACAATATGTAGATCGGAGCCAACTTTTTCTTTTATCAGACGCAGAGTCTCTGATTTGATATCAAGCTCCTTGATCCATTTTTAGTTAACTTTTGTGCATGGCGAGAGAAGGGGATTTAGTTTCATTTTGTTGTATATGGATTTCCAGTTTTCCCAGCACCATTTGTTGAAGATGCTATCCTTCCTCCATTGCATGCTTCTAGCCCCTTTATCAAATATAAGATAGTTGTAATTTTGTGGATTGGTTTCTGTGTCCTCTATTCTGTACCATTGGTCCACCTGCCTGTTTTGGTACCAGTACCATGCTGTTTTTGTTACTATTGCTCTGTAGTATAGTTTGAAGTCTGGTATCGATATACTGCCTGATTCACACTTCCTGCTTAGAGTTATTTTTGCTATTCTGGGTCTTTTATTTTTCCATGTGAATTTCATGATTGCTTTATCTATTTCTACAAGAAATGCCATTGGGAGTTTGATTGGCATTGCATTAAACCTATAGAGAACTTTTGGTAATATCACCATTTTGATGATGTTAGTTCTGCCTATCCATGAACAGGTTATATTTTTCCATCTTCTAAGATCTTCTTCTATTTCTCTCTTTAGGGTTCTGTAGTTTTCATTGTATAAGTCTTTCACCTCTTTTGTTAGGTTGATTCCCAAGTATTTTTTTTTCTTTTGAAGATATTGTGAATGTGGTGTTTTTTCTAATTTCCATTTCAGAAGTTTTGTCGCTGATTACAGAAAATGTTTACCTCTTAAAAAATTGTTGGAGTAGAAATTTTCAAAATAGTTTCTGATTATTGTCTGTATTTCAGTAGTGTCCATGATGATATTTTCCTCTTCATCATGGATTTTAGTAATTTGAGTTTTCTCTTTATCTTCATTAGCTTAGCTAGGGTTTATCAATTTTGTTATTTTACTTTAAAATCTACACTACATAAATATTACTCAGTAAGAAAATAATTAGAAATGGTACTATATGACAGAATTTACAAATATAATATTGTCAGATGCCTCTATGGATTCATATGAAATATTATTTTGTTGCTTCTTTTTTTTTATTAGGATACCAGTGAGAATACAGAGATAAAAAAAAAAAAGTTTCTGATGTTTTCATCCTTTCAAATAAGAAATAATAAAATGTTACATCAGGGTTGTAATCTCTTTTTTAATACCGCTAAATAAGTTTGTGTTCCTTTAACACAAAGTAATCTGGAAAGAGTAACTAACTAAATACATTACACACAATAGAATAGTGAATTCTTGAAAATTCTATATGCCATATTTCTGGTATCAGCAATGAATTATTTTCTGAGATTAAGAGCAAATCTTTTTTTATTTTTGTAATAGTCAAATATATTAAAATATTTGTTGTACTGAAAAACAAGTATTGACTTTTAGGCTTTTATCCATTTTGTATCTAAAGAAGGGAAAAAATAAGAAATAATACATACTTCAAAAAAATTTCTTGGATACTATGTATACTTATAGAGAAGCATATTTTTAAATATTAAGAATTGAAATTAATATAAAAAATATTTTTGTAGTAGATACAAAGAAATAATTAGTTTAATAATCAATACATTCTTAAAGCAATACCTCTATATACATACTGCTTCAAAAGAGGAAATTTAAATTTGTGACTTTAAGAAAGAAATGAGTATGTTCACTTTTTGAAAAGAATTATAATTTTTATGTGGTCTCTAAGCTACCTCACACATTTTAATGATAATAAATGAGTCTTATATTCAGAGTTCTTTCTCTGCTCTTTTCCACTCTATTGGTACTTTTGTAAAGTAAAGCATGCCACTGTAAACTGCTATAGTTAATCACCTTGTATTGTATTAACATCGACTAAATAGCCCATTAACCATATTAAGTTCGAACAATTATTGTCTTCTTCCAATATCAATTGAGTAATGTATACATTTTTTACAGTACAGCCTCACATAATACAGCTTAAAAATGAGACTACATATGAGAATGGTCATGTCACGCTCGTCTGTGAAGCAGAAGGGGAGCCTGTCCCAGAAATTACTTGGAAAAGGGCAGTGGATGGCATCACATTTTCTGAAGGCGATAAGGTAACATAGACTCAATATGTAGTGGTGTACGATAGCATTGTCGTGTCCAGAATTTTGAATATTAACAAATCTCAAGTTAGTATCTATCTTACAAAGGAACTTGTACAAATCAAAGAAATGACTTAAATTTTTTTTAAATATTTATTTATTTATTTTTTAGTTGTAGTTTGACATAATACTTTTATTTATTTATTTTTATGTGGTGCTGAGGATTGAACCCCAGGCCTTGCACTTGCTAGGCGCACGCTCTACCACTGAGCCTCAATCCAAGCCCAATGGCTTAACTTTTTAAAAGGTAACTAACTTAGTTTAGCAGAGAAAAATGTCAATGTATACCATTTAAAGATGTTTTTTCCATTAAATTACAGAATTATAGTTTTGGGTATTATTCTTAAGGTTGCTTCCAATGCGTATTTTTATACATTGCATATCTAAAATATTTTGTGGTAATTTTCACCTCCCCATTTGCTCTTTACATGAAAGCAATTCAAATATATAAAATTCTGACTATCATTTAATTATTTACTCTTCAGAAATGTCACTGGGTTTCTGCTTTCCTATAATTTGTACACTGAAAAAGAAAAATATGGGTAAACAAATTTAGCATTCTGATGACCTTTCACCAAAATGCATTCAAGTAACTGAGAAATCAATTAAACATTACTACATGTTTCATGATACTCCACAGATTTTTATTTTACTTTTCATCAATTCCAAATATAGACAAAAATAGAAAAGAAAAGTGTTGTGGTGCATGATACAATTGACATTTCACAGCAATAAAGATGTTGTAATTTGGCTTTTAGATGGCTTTGCTCAGAGTTAAAATTCATTAGTTTTTACAGAATGTCTAGTTTCTGAAATATACATACACCTAAAAGTACTTCAACTTACTAGTATATTGGAGTGGAAAGACTTGAAAACATTTGTCTACAGTACATTTCCCATCCCTCCAACTTATTATATTATATTTAACAATCTATTTAACCTCATAAACTGACAAAAATTGCATCTCTTTTGTCCATCTATTAACTTTTGAAAGAATGCTTTTCCATCACCCTTTTTATTTTTTCCATTTCCTCCTCATGATAGCATTTTTATGAGTGTATATTTTTTGGTAATAGTAGCACTGTTTTGGCATTCTTGCTTTATATATTCAAGTTGAAAACCAAATTTATAAAATGGGAAATATAATTGCAGTCTTCTTGGAACCACAGTTGTACAGAGTTTTCTTTAATATTTTCTTAACATAAAATAACAGATACTGCTATAGCAGAGTTTCCAAGTCTGAAATGAGTTAAATTTCAATAAAATTAGTAAAATACAATCAGATATCAAAAACTGTAAAGGATTCTTTCATATTTCAATTTATCACATTTCTGTGGATTAGATCCACACGTGCACTTTGTCCTTATGAAGTATACCTTCCTGTTAGTAATGCTAAACTTTCCAATTGTTTTCTGGTCTACTGAAAAAAAAAATTACTAAAAGTTCTCTTCTCAAAATCAGGTTTTATTTTTCATATAATTTATATTAATTTATATTTTATATTTACAATTTATAATTTATATGCTGAGAATGAAAGCAGATTATATTCAGATATTTTATAAGCGTGATAAAATATGGTCTCGATCACCTGAAACTACACACAAGAATTTCTTCCATAGTATCTCTGAAAACAATATTCCAGTTTGTGTTTGCTAAGAACTATTTAGAGAATATATATTTCTATAAAATGTTTTGATTTGGTAATTTTTCACAGAGAAATTATAGGAACCAAAATATGAATTTGTGCTAAGATTATACAATAGATGAAGAAATTACAACTATTTACATTCTATCTTCCCAATTCTCCCAAAATACTTTCATATCTGGACACCAAAAAGTCTCCTTTCTTCTAAAATTCCTACTGTCTTCAGCAGTAAATTTCAAAAATTGAATACTTGCTCTGAGCTTTTAAGAAAGACAAATCTAGTTTTGTATTTCAGCTTTGCTAAATGGTGGTTTAGCTGTGGCAATAGTATTTGAACTCTTTGATTTCCTTCACCTAAAATATTGATAATTCTTATTTTCCTTTTATTTAAGGATGATGAAGAGTATATTCAAAAACACATGTCCAACTTAAGTATTCATTACACATTTTTCATCTTTGTCATATTACATAGTATTCAAGCACAGACTATCTTGTTTCTCTTATTCTGTGTAAATTCTGTTTGCAGAAAGTTCATGCAAATTCTAATACCTAGTGTTTGATTGAACAATACTATCATAGATTGCACTGATATCATATCATTCTTGTGATGAAAAGTGGCAGGAAAGCAAATGAATAAATGTAATGCACTATATAAATTGAATCAAGGGTAAGAATCACATGATTATTTTAATAGATGGAGAAAAAGCTTTTGATAAAATTCAACTACTCTTCACTATAAATTGGGTGTAGAAGGATCATAGCTGAACATGATAAATACTATCTTTGACAAACTCATAGCCAATATCATACTGAATGGGGGAAAACTGGAAGCATTTCCTCTGAAATCAGAAACAAGACAAGGGTTTCTACTCTTACCACTCTTATTCAACACAGTATTGGAAATTTTAACCACAGCTATTAGGCAAGGCAAAGAAATAAAATGGGTATGCACAGGAATGGAGGAAATCAAATTGCCCTGTTTGCAGATAATGATTCCATAGCTAGAAAACCCTAAAGTGTCCACCAAGTCTCTTAGAATTGATAAATTCATCAAAGTAGAAGGGAATAAAATCATCATACAAAAAGCAGTGTATTTCTTGTAGACCTACAGACTTCAAAAAGAGAGGGAAGAAAGGGAAGGAAAGCAAGGAGGATAGGAAGTGAGGAAGGAAATTCCTAGGAATACACCTAACCAAGGGATTGAAAGACCTCTGCAATGCAAATTACAAAACACTGAAGAAATTGAAAAAGACTCTAGAAAATTGAGAGACTTCCCTTGTTTATTGATTGAGAGAATCAACATTAAAACAGTCCTACTAGTGAAAGTTATCTATGAACACATCACAATCTCCATAAAATGCCAATGACATTCTTCACAGAACTAGAAAAACAATGCTAAAATAATATGGAATCACAAAAATAAAAACGAAACAAAACCCTGAATAGCCAAAGCAGTCATTGGCAAAAAGAACAATGTTAGAAATATCCTAATACCCAGTTTCAAAAGTATACTATACAGCCATTATAAGAAAAACATCATGATATTGGTATTTGCAGGTAAATGGATGGCACTGGAGAAGATAATGCTAAGTAAAGTTAGCCAATACCAAAAAAAAAAACAAATGCCAAATGTTTTCTCTGATATAAGGGGGGTGACTCATAGTGGAGTAGGGAGGGAGAACATGGAGGATTAGATTAATTCTATATAGGGAAGAGGGATGGAAGGGAAAGGGAGGGGGAAGGGGATTAGCAAGGATGGTGGAATGTGATGGTCATCATTATGCAAAATACACGTATGAAGATTTGAATTTGGGGCCAACATACCTTATATACAAACAGAGATATGAAAAATTGATATATATATATATATATATATATATATATATATATATATATATATCACAATTATATTATTTCTTGAGCTATTTGACTCCTGTATATATATATATATATATATATATATATATATATATATATATCACAATTATATTATTTCTTGAGCTATTTGACTCCTGTATATATATATATATATATATATATATATATATATATGTGTGTGTGTGTGTATGTGTGTGTCTGTGTGTGTGTATTAAGAATTGTAATGCAAAAAAAAGTACATGTATAATGGCATAAGTTGGCGTGAACATACTTTATAAACAGATATGAAAAATTGTGCTCTATCTGTATAATAATGATAGTAATGCATTCAACTGTTGGGTATTTAAAAAATAAATAAATCATAAAAAAGATGAAGAAAAGCAAAAAAAAAGAAAAAAGAAAAACATCATGATATTTATATAAAATTAGAAATGTTGACCGATGGCAGAAAAAATAAACTGTGCAATTACAGACATCTGATTCTCAACAAAGAATCCAAAAACATATGTTGGAGAAAAGATAGCCTCTTTAACAAATGATTCTTTAAAACTGAACATCTCTCTGCAGAAAATTGCAAAAAGATCCCTATCTCTCAAACTATACAATAAGTAATTTTAAGTAGATCACTGACCTTAATGAGACTTGAAAAATTTGAAACTACAATAAGAAAACATTGGGGGAAACACTTTAAACATTGATATAGGCAATGATTTCCTGGACAGGACTCAAATAGCTCAAGAAATAATAATTTACAAATTGAATTACATTAAACTAAAGAACTTCTGTAGAGCAAATGAACAGAATGAAGAGACTACCTATGGAATGGTAAAAAGTTATTTGCTCACTATTCATCTGGAAAAGGAATAATATTGAGGATATATAAAGAACTCAAAAAAATTGACAAAAAAACAAGTAATTCAGTTTTTAAAAAGTACAAGTATATTTCATAAATATATGAAATCATGCTTAACATATTTAGCCTTTAGGGAAATGTAAATCAAACCTACATTGAGATTCCATCTCACTGGGTCAGACTGGTTATTGTGTAGGAAATAAAAAGTAACAAATGCTCTTCAGAATCCAAGAAAAATGGAACATTTAAGCCTTGTTGGGAATGTAAGTTAGTAAAGTCACTATGAAAAACAGTGTGGAGATTCCTCAAAAACCTAAAAATAGAACTACCGTATGATCTTTCCATAACACTTCTGGATACATACCCAATTTTTTTAAATTAAGCATAATATGGAGATACATGCATCACATACCCATGTTTATCATGACACAATTCATAATAGCCAAGTTACAGAATCAGCCTTGTTGCCCATATGTGGAAAGGTACACACACACACACACACACACACACACACACACAACCCATTGGAGAATTACTCCACCATAAAAGAAGAAGGCACTCATTTACAGGAAAATT